GAGAGAATCTGGGTACATGCGCGCAACTGCATTTGAACATGTGTGTGCTCGATGGCCGGGGTAATCAGTAGAGATGGGACTTTTGCGTTAACCTGAATAGAAAACCCTACTACAAAGAAGTTCTTTCATTTTCACACTCTTTTGTGGCTTTATGGTAGAGATCCGCTGAAATAGGAATGATTCTGGATTCCGAAAGAGAGTAATGAAACTATAATATTTATTCATATCTCTTCATTTGTATTAACTCCATTTGACCTTTTGCGTGCAATATCACCTCACTGATTTCCCACCAAAATAGCATTATGAATCCCACAAGGTGGGCTGTCAGCTGCCAATGAGGATTCAATTTATCTCTCTCTCTCGGTAGGCAAAAATGTTGAAGCTGAAGCTGTCCTATTTTGGGCACATCATGAGAAGACAGGATATTCTAGAAAAGACAATAATGCTAGGAAAACCTGAAGTTAGCAGGAAAAGAGGAAGACCAGAGATGGATTGGCTCATTAAAGGAAATCACGGACTTGAGCTGCAAGAGCTGAGCAGGGCTGTTGAGGACAGGACAATTTACTGTTCATTCGTAGGATCATCATAATTCGGGGATGACTTGAGAACACATGACAAAATTATTTACAGTAGGACCCCTATATCCGTTGGGGTTTGCTTCCAAGCCACCAGTGGATACTGATAATAGCAAACACTATATATATAGCATGGTAAAAGGGAGAAAAACTCCAGAAAAAATATTTTCACATGCATGACCAACAATAGGCAGTGCCAAAGAGCATGCTATGTATTCTTCACTAACAAGTATTCAACGCGTGGTTGCTGGCTCCCTCTAATGGCTGATTCTGGTAATACTTGTGAAAATCGATTTCTGGATGTTGTTATGTTAATATTTTTGATATTTTCAGAATGTGGATAAGTAAAACCGGGATATTGATCCCAGGTGGGTACAGGGATCCTACTCTATTTCTGTCAAGTCTATTCCTAGTTATCTAGTGTCTAGCTCAGTGCACAGGTCAGGCCTGGCCTACCTGTGTGGCGGTGGTATCTATCCACCCTTCCTTCCTTCTTCCCTCCCTCCCTCCGTCCCTCCCTCTTTAACTACCCATCCATCCATCCCAAGAATCAGGAATAGTGCCTAGCTAGGCAGGAGCTGTAGGGCTTGGCTTGCTTGCTTCTATCTATGCGGCTGTTGACGACGTAGGCCAGGCTGGCTTGTGGCAAGCGCTGTGTTGGAAGTCAAGGCAGGCTACTGGTACGACGTAGGCTGGCTTGTGGCAAGCGCTGTGTTGGAAGTCAAGGCAGGCTACTGGTGTGTGTGTGTGGTTGTACATGTGTTGTTTACTGCTTGCTCATTTGGGAGGGGGTGCCTTTTCTTTTCTTTAACTATCAATATAATTTTATCTTCCAAACAATCCAATTTGTCATATTCCACAGCAATTTTGGGAGGGAACAGTAATTATTTGACAAGAGATTAACTACCTTCTTGCAGTCTCATTCTGTTAAAAATTATGTCCAAGCACTTGGATTCAATCTTACACTAAATGCACAAGAAGAAAAAGAAGTAATATTGGTCCATACGAAAAACTCTGTTCATTGTTATGCACTATTTCAATTGGTCCTAGCAAAGCATACATTATTTAATTGTGGACAATGGATCTCAAACTGAATGGTAATAATGGTAATAAAGATTAGCATAGGAAAAATACAGACAGTATGTATCAGTTGCTCATTTTGCCATTGCAGGTTTTTAAATCTCTACATTAACCTTCTCCATATTTTGTTTCAAAAGTATTTTGGCCAAAAGAGTGGATGCAGATAGTAACAATATATATGAAATATAACATTTCAAAAATTGAGGACAGACGGACTATTTTATGATTTTTCCCATTCAAACAACTGATTTTCCACAGCACAAAAGCTACATAAATCTAATATATCTCTCTACCTGACCTCACAGCCCTCTAATTCACCCAATGCCACAGAAACCTCTACGTTGATGTTTAACACCTCCAATCTATTTAAGACTTCTTACAGAAGGTGAATAATCATTTGAGATTATCCAGTGACACAGCTAAACCCAGCAAATTCCTGCCGACAATCGGTATAGGCTTTACAGAAATGGCAGCTGTTTGCCAGGCTTCAGAGAGAGGTCCTTTCCATCCAGTGGTGCCTCTTCTATGTCTTGGTGAAGTCAGAGGATTTATTCCACTCAATGCCACATTTTGCAGTGATATCGTCTTCGCCCCTCCTATCACAACGGCTTCTGACGATGAAGAGACTGAGGGTAAGAAGTTGAATCCACAGATGCTAAAGAATAGGTGAATTTACTGGCAAGAATATCTGCTGGATCTGGACGATGAAGCCTGACAGATATTCGTGAAAATCTGTGCACTTTCACTTTTGTTCCTTATTGATCCACTGCATGTTAATGTGTTGGAAGTGATACAGATGCAGCTTTACTGGGGCTCACCATCCGCCTGAGGAAAGAAGAGAGAGTCAGATGGAATATCTGGAATCCTACTGCATATTTTTATCAGCGCAACTCCATCAATGTACCTTTCAGCAATAAATTAAGCAATGGGGGTGGGTGTTTCCTATCAGTCATGTGATTAGTGTTTGATAGGAAATACCTGTACCTACTTCGCAAATGGTGGCGATTTTACCATTGAAACTTAAGCCAGTGGAGTTATACCAACTTGATTCTCCAGTTTAAAACTGGGACAAAATGTCAGGCCAAATATTAAGGGGAGCATGTATTCCCTATGATTAAACAGGATTTCCTCAGAGATACATGTCATAGCAATCAGATCTGCAGATTAAACTAGTGCTTCTGTAACCAGTCTCAAAGACAAAGCACACTAAATGCAAGATACGTAGGTGAGGGAAATCTCGTAACAGATTTTTTTTTTCCATTTGAGGGAGTGCTTCTTTCAAAATGAGGCTAAAATATAATTTAGTTTGAGCCACAGATTATCACTGTGCCAGGTGCCTTAACATCTGTTAAGCTTTTTCCTGAAATGTGTGTGGTTTGTTGTTGTTTTCTGTATTGGCACTTACTGTAGCTTTCACAATTCCGAATGCAATCAATTTCAGTCTCAAAGTTATTGTCGTTGCCCCCACAGCCACCGTAACGGAACTCCTCACACCGGCCGCTTTTGACATTGAAATAGTAGCGAGGGAAAGATGCCTTGCACAAGCCCGTTTCTTTAGGCAAATCACATTTTGCAGGCATGCGTTCTGGAGGAGAGAGGCAGGCAGGGGAAGAAATGAAGAGAAGACTTATTTACCTAATTGCATCTTGTGCAAAAGAGAACAGCACAGGTTGGATCCCAAAGACACAGCTGGACTGCTTGAAATCATGACTTTAATTTGGTGAGAACTCCTCCATACATTCCATTGATTCCAGTGGGCCTACCTGAACTGCAACGTATTACTAGATTTCAGTCCTTATTTCTAAGCGCTGTTATTTTTCTCCTACCGTCCTCTGTTCTGTGTTAGAGACAGGCTGGTGGCAGGATAACAGCCTCACCTGGGGGGCATTCCTGACTGTAGTGAAGATAAACAAGAGCAAAATCCTTGATGTCAGCACAGTATTATTATCACGCAATGGCTAAACTCCAGCAGAGCGCACCCATTGAATTAATGGGGATTTGGTGAGTCAAAAAATTCTTTTAATCTAATGATCTTACACTAGTTGCAATTTACCACTGGATTTGAGCCAATTTCTTCCGTCTAGACTTAGCCAGGTTTACACCAGGTCCATCTGAATTAATGGTTCAGTCATGACTATCAGGACATGCCCAAGACATTTTGCTGCCTGAGGCAAAGGACAAGGTGACTCCCTCCTCATTCCATACACACACCCTGAACAGACTGGTGGCCGAATCTGAGTCCAACATTGATGGAGGCCAATAGCCTCTGCTATACCTAAGGACAACTTTATGGACTACAGGCCAGGTTTTGTGGCTCATGTATATGATGTTCTCCTTGGCCATCAGTATGCGTGGCTACCTGAGGATGTTGCTTCTCTCAGCCTCCACCTTATGATAGGGCTGGCCTTCAATTAACTTAATTAGATTAAGCCTCTGTTCTTTTCCTGGCTCTATAAGAGATCTGGAGGTTAAATCCTGTGTTGAATTGCTAAGGGGTTTGGTATCTTTAGCATGGAGAACAAAAATCTGGAAGATGATATGTAACAATCTTCAAATATTTGTTTTCACATGGGAGAAAATGTAAGCTTATTTTCTGTAGCTCCAAAGCTACAGGAAGTAATAGATTTAAATGACAGGAAATGATATTAGGATGAGCTTCTTGACAGTAAAAGCTATCGGACAATGGAACAGATTGTCTTGGGAGGCGATGGACTCTCTTTCATTGCAGGTTTATGAAAAGAGATCGGGTGGCTATCCCTCGGAGATGCTTCAGCTGTGGATTTCCTGTTTGGACTGAGAGTTAGACTCAACTCTTGGGGTCCCTTTCATTTCTACAGTGCTCTGACTCAGTATTATGATAATGTATTGCCCATTTCTAGAAGTTTAGTTTGCAATAATTAATCATTTATTGACTTCATAAAAGTCAGTGCAAAAATGTCCATCTGTATCTCAGTGAAAAACTCTCTGGGTCTAGCACCTTTCTTCCTGTTTACTATTTTCTTGCTTTCTCTATCGCTTTTAAACTGTCGTATTCCATTTCCAAGTGTCATTGTGCCATACATCTGTATTAATTGATTATAAAGGCTGTTTTACTTTCTTCATTCTTACCAAACTGTGCACACTGCTCAATACACTCTTGAAGACTGTGGAAGTTGTTTTTGTTGCCTCCTTCGCCACGATAAATGAGTGTCCTGCACACTTTGTTGTTAAAATCATAGTAATAGCGCTTGAAGAGTATTTTTCCTGTGCCCTTTGCTGCAGGGAGTCTGCATTTTTCTGGTGGACGATCTAGAGGAGAAGAAAAAAGACAAATGCAAGGCTTGCATCAGCAATTCAGACTCCTGAAATACAAAAGATAAGAGCACGGAAAAAACATTTTGCTTATTACTCCAGTTGCTGGATTGTTCCTTCTACATGAAGTATGAGCAAATGATTAGAGTGTTCCTTTGCTAGCCCTTCAGATTACAGTATTGTTATTGGTTTAAATATATATCTCATGCCAAGTGCCCAGTTTCCCCCTAGCATGCCATCAATTATTTAGTGATGCAACACTTTTCAGTTTGACCAAAGAAAGTGAAGCATTACTAATTACTAAAAGTATTCTGTTAGGACTGGAGCATGCTGGTTTCGTCCTGCTTTTGAGCTTGCACAGGCTGTTCGGCTGCTTTCTTATTGCACAGTCAATGGCCCAAATCCTGTTGCTTAGGGCAGTGGTTCTTTACCTTGGGTAACTGAATCCTGTTGCTTAGGGCAGTGGTTTTTAACCTTGGGTTACTCAGGAGTTTTGGGCTGCAACTCCCAGAAGCCTTCACCACCAACTGTGCTGGCTGGGGTTTCTGGGAGTTGCAGTTCAAAAACATCTGAGTAACAAAGGTTAAGAACCACTGGCTTAGGGTACTAAATCATCTTAGAGTATGCCAATTGAATCCATGGAGATTTGGCAGTTTAGCATAGTAGGTCACAAGTAGAGTTGGCCCAGTTGAGTCAATAAAAATTATAGAGGAGATGACTCATCAAATCTCCGTGGATTCAATAGCATACACTAATGTGGTTTATGACCCTAAGCAAGAGAAAGCTCTCTCCTCAAGGTGGAAGGACAGAAGGGAAGAGGTTAGCCCGCCCTCACCCTTTGGGAGGGATCCCCAAAGCCTCCGAGCAGCTACTGCAAAGGCTCTCTCTCATGTTCTCAGCAGACATGCCTGTGGTGGCCACAAGAGCAGAGAGAACATTCTCCACCAAGAAGTCCATAAGGGGAGTTATGGTCCATCAGATATGCTGGACCTACATTATTCGGGGCTTTATAAACCAAGCCCCGCACTTTGAAGCATGCCTGAAAATGGACCAGAAGCTGGTGAAGCTATTATAACAAAGAATGTTGGTTCTTCTGATATGGAGCTCCAGACACCAACCTGGTCACAATATTTTGAAACAACTGACATTTCCAAACACTTTCTAAAGATAGCCCCATATGAATATTACAGTAATCCAACCAAGGCATAACTAATGCATTTGTGGTCATGAACACAGCTGTTATCTCCAGAAGAGACACAGCTGGCACACTGGTTTTAACTGTGCAAGCATACCTTCTGCCCCTGCCAAAGCACGGGTGTTCAGCCTCAGGGGAGAATACAGGATTAGGCTCAGGCTACAAATCTGAGTTTTCATGGGGAGTGTAATCCCATCTAATATTTATTTGATGTTCTACCAGAAGCACTTTTGTCTAAATTATGCTTCAGTCTGTCCCCATTCAGAACTGAAATAGTGCCTTCAGATTTACATAAAAAGGAGAAAGAAACATGGGTATCTTTGGCACACTAGTGGCACCAACCCCTCCAAAACTCCAGAGGGTCTTTTCCAGACATTCTGTATGTGTGTTAAATAAGAGGGGGAGCTATGAGGTAATGCTGAGAAAATCCAGTAGCCAAAGACCAGGGTGTAGAACAAGCCTTTTCCCCATTCCACAGTTGGTGATAACATGAGAGAACCCTTCTTGGTGGTTGCCCCTAGATGGTGGAACTCCCTGCCACACAAGGTTAAGGTTCCTTCTCTCCTTGGTTTCATTCTTCCAACAGGCAAATACTTTTCTCGACACAACCCCCCCCCAAAAAAAAGCATTAAAGGACCTTTGCATTTAACACTACACAGATATATTGACTTAACAATTCAGTCTCATTGCTTTCAATGGCACCTACACAATGAACAGGACAGATCCTGAAGCTGAGGCTCCAATACTTTGGCCATCTCATGAGAAGAGGAGACTCATTGGAAAAGACCCTGATGTTGGTAAAGTGTGAAGGCAAGAGAAGGGGACGACAGAGGACGAGATGGATGGACAGTGTCATCGAAGCGACCAACATGACTTTGACCCAACTCCGGGAGACGGTGGAAGACAGGAGGGCCTGGCGTGCTCCGGTCCATGGGGGTCACAAAGAGTCAGACACGACTAAACGACTAAACAACAACAACACAATGAACTGACTGTAAGGCTTATTGTTCCACTCTCCATTTCCTGAGGTCTAAAACATGAATTGACTGTTTATAGTGAGCATGTGGAGGAACACTTTCCGTAACTCAGAGCCTTTAATAAAATGTAAGTTTGACTCAAAGAGAAGCTGCTTCTTGTTTTTCTGTGCCGTCAACTCAGAACTGACTTATCGTGACCCTAATAGGGCTTCCAAAGTAAATGAGATATGTAAGGAGCAGTTTTACCAGTTCCACAACCCCCAGTGAGCTTCTGTGGCTGAATGGGGATTCAGACACAAGCTTCTCGAATTCTAGTCCAGCACTCTATCCACTACACCCCACTGGGTATCCCAGAAGCTGCTTACACACTGCCAAAAAGGAGAAAACTAGAAGAAAATATGAAACTTGCTTCTCTCCTTTTCAGCACAAAGACTGTCCTCCACAGTAAAGATGTGGCTCAGACATTGTATTAATCAGGTTGTAAAAGTAGCATCAATAATATGAAAAGTGCCGATTGTTTTTGTTGCCCAGAAATAGACTCCTCCATTATTTTTCTTACCGAATCGTTCACACTCCCAAATGCAATCCAATGGACTTTCAAACTGATTTGCGTTGCCTTGACAGCCACCATAAAGGAAAAACTCACACTGCCTTGTTTTGGTGTCATAGTAAAAACGTGGAAAGGCTGCTTTGCACATTCCTGTTACTGGAGGCAGGTTACATTTTGCTGGAGGAGAACCTGGTGTGGGGAACAAGAGAAAGAGAGAAACAAAGGGCCAGTTACTATTCACTTCATTAGACAAAAGATTATGATGTGAGGAATTATTATTTTTGCAACTTTCCACCCTTGAGAGGGAACCTTCCAGTGGGCAATGGTGAATGATCCAGACTTCACATGTTCACATAGAAAGACAGGTCAGAACGCAGAGCAAGCAAATCTGAAAGGTCTGCTAAGGATTTGTTATGTTTTAAGGAGGTGCGCTGGGAAGGTTATTGTTCTGAAGTCTTCAGACAATGTCTGTATTAGTCTCTTGAAGCAAAAACAACAAAAAGTCTGTGGCACCTTGAAAACGCAGAGGTTTTATTTGGTTTGAGTTTTCGTGGCCCATCGGAAGACACCGCCTGCAGTGCATGAAGTAAGGTAAAGGGTCCCCTTGACATTTAGTCCAGTCGTGTCCGACTCTAGGGTGCAGTGCTCATCCCTGTCTCCAAGCCGTAGAGCCAGTGTTTGTCTGTAGACAGTTTCCGTGGTCACATGGCCAGCGTGACTAGACATGGAACACTGTTACCTTCCCACCGAGGTGGTACCTATTTATCTACTCATATTTACATGCTTTGGAACTGCTAGGTTGGCAGGAGCTGAGACAAGCGACGGGAGCTCACTCTGTTGCGTGGATTTGATCTTACAACTGCTGGTCTTCTGACCTTGCAGCACGGAGGCTTCTGCAGTTTAGCCCGCAGCGCGACCACGTCCCCTTGGACTTTCACGCAATCCATGAAAGTTGAGGCCAAATATAAGTTCTTCCCATTTAAGATGCCATAAGTCTCTTTGTTCCTTTTGGAATCCTTGTGTCACCGATAGAATAATAAGTTGTTGCTTTGACTGGCATGTTGTGCCATTGAGTCATTGGGTCCTGCTTGCTACTACTGTACATCTTTTCAAGGAAAGTGGCCAGTGGAGGACATGGAAGAGCAGGAAAATATGTGTCGCAGGTCTGCTGCATCTTCTTTCATTGGACTCTGCCTCTGTTCTTCTCCAGGTGCTATCTGACCTAGAAAGGGTTGTCAGCAAATACTATTGTGTCCAAAAGATCAGAATCAAAAGTGAGCCAATGTCTAACTTTTGATGACCCATCACAAAACTGAAACACTTATTTGCAAGCAACAGAAGATTATCAGCCTTCACAGGGAGAGGGATTTTTAAAGGACTATTGCTTTTAAAAACAAGTTGTCTATACAGCATCTTATTTTGCCCCTGATCTTACTGGATTTAGGGTCAAAATGCAGGTTCAAAAAAAAAGTATTTATTTCTGGTTCTTTCCACCTTTCCTCTCTGACAACATGATCTTTGTTTTTTTTTTGTTGTTGTTGTTGTTCATTCCCAGAATTCAAGGCTGAATTCCCAGAGCCACTGTTTTCATTCTAGACATAGTCTAGTCTAATGGGATATTCGTGCATCTGCTTTGAAGACATCCTCATGGTTACATCTCTTTCGACTCTTGAAGGTGTGCTCCTTTTAGAATTGAAATCTTTGTTTTGTACAACAGGACCCTTAGGTGCTAACAAGGCAGACAGAAAGATTGTAGGGAAAGTCATCAAACTGATTGACACTTGCCACAAAATTGTTGCCATGGAGCTACCATACTATCCTTGTTTCCCCTTCCCCTTCCATATTGCAATTGTGACCTAATTTGGAGGGATGTGGGTGATGGTGATGTTGCAAGCAGGATACATATACAGATTGGAGGGTAACAGAAATACAGAACTTACTTGAATACTTCCAGCGACGGGCATCCAGCAACTCAAACCAGGATGTTAGAAGCCACATGGGAAAAACAAGGAGGACAATGAGATTGCCCTGCATGATTGCTGTTTCAAGGGAAAAGAGCAAAACCACTTTTTATAGCTATATATAAGGAAATCAAAGTGGGCATTAAGTCAGCCAGAACAATTAGCCAATAAGTAGGTACAGTACACTCAGGAACTATTGTGTTTAATTCAATTTGCTGATCTAGGGATATGATGGAGCCAAATTTAATCATCTTCATGTAGTGAAAAGAGATTGATACCTGTGATATGACGTGCATTAGATATAAGCAAGGAATTAAATCCAGTTTTAGTGCCAACTGATGTAGGTCTGTTGAAATGAATGTGACTTTGTTATGCAAGCCCCATTGAATTCAATTGCTCCGGTTTTTAGGACAAAAATTGGATATAGCCCATTTTGATTTTTTTAAATGCAGATGTTCACTTCTCTTTGTCATAGTTTTATTTCTAAATAAAACTATACTAAACTATACCAGATCTTGGAATGCTGGGTATGAAAAAAAATTTTTGTTGCCATTAAACTTTAGAAATTAGAAAATTAATTCCTTTCTTTTAACCTGCCCAATGGAAAATATTTAACTCCTCAAATTAATGTTGTTTATATCATGAAGTTGCACTACGAGTATTTGCTCATTCTAGTCCATGGGAAATGAAGGCACACAGGCTGGTGCCCTCCATACATTTTTGCCGACACTGTTTGGATTTTTATCTGGGCCCATGATAGTATTTCTGCTTTTTCATATGTCCATGAAAAACCTGATCCCCACAAATATGGAAGACGCAAACAGCTGTGTCGCTCTGTGATGGGAGAGGCCACACAGCACATGTTCTCCAACTTTGTATCAATTAATTTTCCCCGGGAATCAAATCAGAGATGATCCTATGGGATTTTCTAATTTATCAGTATCGATCTTCTGAAAAATACAGCTGTTCAGCCCACAGTGACCAATTCATGTTCGAACCACTATGACTTCTAAAGGAGAGTCATACATTTTTTTTATTAAAATGGGTTCTCTCTCATGGATTATTTATTTATTTAGGAAAAATGATGTTACTTTGAACATTTCAAGCAAAACTGGCAATCTATAGAAGTTGTTTGGGGGTATTTAGAACAAAATTAACATATTCTCTAGAGCAGTGGTTCCCCAACCTTGGGCCTCCAGATGTTCTTGGACTACAACTCCCAGAAGACTTCACCACCATCTCTGCTGGCCAGGATTTCTGGGAGTTGAAGTCCAACAACATCTGGAGGCCCAAGGCTGGGGATCACTGCGAGGGTTAAGCTGGGAGGATAATTGTGGTCCCTCCCCTATGAGACAGAATTAAAATGGGAGTGAAGATGGGTAATGAATATGGGGGAAACCATTGTTTTACATCTGCTTCTATCTTCCTATTAATTTAGGAAAACAAAAGAATTTATTCCAAAATGTTGAGCAAATTAATTGACTTTCCACTTGTGAAATGCACATCCTGTTGTGCTATGCATGATCCAATATGCAGTTTGGCATCTGGACTTCAAGGCTGAAAAAGACAATCACCTAACTTTTTGGGTTTGCGGATCATCATCGGGACTTTGTTTGCAAGTCTAATGGCTTGGCTTTGGAATTCAAACAAATTGTGTGCCTGACAGAAGAATTTTGTAACTGCAGTAAATTGCATTTTTATTTATACTTGATTTGACCTTTTCACACTCAGATTCTTTCCACAAGATCAGTATTTTGTATTACTCTAGGTGGGGTCAAATTAACGTTTTCATATTTAGAAATAAGACTTAGTTTCTGTTTTATCCTCAGCTTCTCGGTCTGAATTAAAGGTATGCAGATCTGATTTTAGCATATTTTTTTACTCTTAACTCTAGAATTCCCCAGGAAGCATAGCTGGAGTTTGGGACTTAAGAGTCCAAAAATCTGTGCACCTCTAGTAATATCTTTATTTTCAAGGCCTCTGCAGCAACTATTCTGTATCCAGATATGTCCTATAAAAGCCATTTAGGATGGTACACATGTTTTTCAAATTTCCAGATTTTTCTGCAAGCCCGCAAAAGATTTACGTGACTCATTTCTGACAGGGAATGGGGAATGGGATCCTAACAGGATAAAAATATTGTGATGATAGCCAGAGTTCCATGCTGAAGACCATTTTCTTTATTCAGTTGGTTAGCACAGCAAGCCAAGGTCAATGTTCTATTACATATGACATATGGAGGCTATGGAATGCCTTCTCTAAGAACATCATCCTTCACTCGAAGTGTAACTCATTGCTTTTGGGAGTGTCATAGTCAGAAGCTGGCTGAAACCATTTAGAGAATCCCAAATATGCTGGGCCATTAATTTAGAGCTTGGAAATAATTGCTCAAATCTCAATTGCCCTAATATATCAAATAGCATCTAATTTAAAAGGTTGTTATTTCATATTGCTGTGTTTTGTTGTTGTTTTTTGCTTTCTCTTAGTATGACCAATTTCAGCAGTTCTGCATGATATAGTTAAAGTTTAACAATCAGCTAATGAATTGTATTTCTTGACATTTTGAGATCAATGAATTGGCTTGCCTCAATGGTTTGATGTTAGTATGTTAGTACAAGCCTAAGATTTCCTTGGATATTATTCTGTATTTAAAGAGGAGTAGCCTGTATTATGCCCCTTGGGACAGAGCAGGATGACCTGTCACCTTCAGAACAAATGGAAGTCCGACCCATCCTTCAGTATTGGAAAATGTAGACAGCATATGAATCAAAGGGGGATGGGGAGCAACAACTTGGTTGCCCACAAGAGGTAGAAATGCTATCAAAGGTAGGTCTTCTCATGAGTAAAGGCTTTTTTGTGATTAGCCCTGCAGATCTTTTCTGGCCTGGACTTTGATGGCTCAGGCTTAAAAGCATCCAGCTTATTCCAAAGAGCAGTGGAATAAGATGTTTGAAACCAGTTCCCAGTTCTGTGGTTCTCATTGTGATTAAGGATTTTTGGACTACAGATGCCATAATCCTCCACTTGATATGGGAATTGTCACCCTACCTAATTTTGTTCTAAATTCTGGCATTTATCTATTTCATAATACCTAATTGCTGTATCTTCCCAGCAGCGGAGACAGAGAGGTGGGAAAAAGATTTGTTGAGCTATGAGAATAGATGGAGAAGAAATAATAATAGAAAAGGGTGTGAGTTTTGAAATAAATAGAAAAAAAAAGATAGGCTGCTGAGTTGCTCCATCAAAGCAAAACAAAATCCATAAATCCACAGGGAGATAATAGCTTTATTAGGACCAACTACAATTCTACAGTAACATGCAAGTCTTCAGGTTTCGCAGAAACTCTACATCAGGCAAGGTGTTGTGTTTTTTCTTTTAAAGGTGGGGAGGGAAGAAAAGCCTCCAAGTCTCACTAGATGTTTTAAACCATGAGATTCTGCGGTTAAACTCGCTCCTAGAACGGAAGACCTGACGAATTGCTGGTAATTGTGGAGGCTTCGCGCAATTGCCGTGTTTGTGATGATTTCTTCCCATGCCATGCGTCATTTTTGTTTGCCCTTTATACTGTCAAGGGGGAAGAAAATCAGAAGGTTACACTGCAGTTTACTCCGTGAATTGCAGCAGAGTTGACACCCATTAAAGTTGAAGTATTTATGATTAACTACATGAGGCAAAGTTAAGCAGAGAAATTCTTTAGTGCTGAGTAGGAGCAAGTGTCAGAGCAGGACAGTCGTTCTCTTACCTCTTGTCGTTTGTAAATAAGCTTGTTTTGCCTCATGAGTTGTCTTGAGGACATCAGCACATTCTTGTGTAATCAGTTTGACTTCTCAGACAAGACATGCTGCCGTTTCTGAAAAACTGATGTCCTTTCAGTTCTAACAACAGTTACCTGCAATGTACAGTTTGGCCCCTGTTGAATCAATTGTGCCGTGGCATTATCTGAAGTGTTCAATGAGCAAATCCACTTTCGTCTAGAAAGTGGCTCTGAAGACCAAACAATTCCTAGTGGGGAACATATGGATAGCTTGCTTGTGAATATGTTCATTTTAAAGTTGTAATGAAATACATGCCATAGGATACATGTTCCAGTTTTTGGCTGCATAAGGGGAGTGATATTAAAGTAAATATGTGATTAACCTATAGCAAGTATATAATTAGTGCTCTCTCGCTCTTTGTATGTTAATAATGTAGAATAGATTTGGTCATTGAATAGCACACTGATGTGTCAAAATACAGAGAACTGCATAGCCTTACATTGCACTGGATACAGAAGTACTGTATTGCTCACTTGCAGTTCTCATTACCTGCAGTGTACAGTTTGGCCCCTGTTGAATCAATTGTACCGTGGCATTATCTGAAGTGTTCAATGAGCAAATCCACTTACTTTCGTCTAGAAAGTGGATCTCAAGACCAAACAATCCCTAGTGGGGAATGTATGGATAGCTTGCTTGTGAATATGTTCATTTTAAAGTTGTAATGAAATACATGCCATAGGATACATGTTCCAGTTTTTGGCTGCATAAGGGGAGTGATATTAAAGTAAATATGTGATTAACCTATAGCAAGTACATAATTAGTGCTCTCTCGCTCTTTGTATGTTAATAATGTAGAATAGATTTGGTCATTGAATAGCACACTGATGTGTCAAAATACAGAGAACTGCATAGCCTTACATTGCACTGGATACAGAAGTACTGTATTGCTCACTTGCAGTTCTCATAATGTCCATATAAATAATCCCTTTCATGTTTGGATTAGATTCTGCACTGTTGTCAATACAGTGGTGCCCCGCATAGCAACGTTAATCCATTCCGGATTAATAGCTGCTATCCGGAAACATCACAATGCGGGTGGGAAAACCCCATAGAAACGCATTAAACTTTGTTTAATGCGTTCCTATGGGGCGAAACCTCACCATTATGTGAAGATCTTCCATAGCGCCGCCATTTTCGCCACCTCGGTAAGCGAGGAAATCGCACGAAAATGGTTGTGGCCACCATTTTGGGCACCTGGCTGCCATTTTGGAACCACCGATCAGCTGTTTTAGAAACATCGCAATGCGAACATAGCCTTAC